GTCACCTTGTTTAGTTGTCGGTAATCAATGCACAACCTGGAGCTCCCATCTTTCTTCTTTACTAGCAATACAGGAGCGCCCCAGGGGGATACACTCGGCCGAATAAACTTCTTTTTCAGCAAATCCTCTATCTGTTTCTTCAATTCAGCCAATTCTGCTGGAGCCATCCGGTATGGTGCCATAGAGATTGGGCATGAACCAGGAATTAGATCAATCCCAAATTTGACCTCTCTCTGAGGTGGCAGCCTTGGTATCTCATCTGGAAACACATCAGGAAATTCACTCACAACCGGTACCTCTTCCAGGATATTATCCTTCACTTCATCCATCTGAGTCAGGATCAAATAACACTGAGCTCCCTCTCGTAGCTCTTTCTGAACCTGCCGAGCTGATGTAATAAGCTCATCTCTTGATTCCGGATGTACCAACCTCTTCTGTCCATAATCAATGAGAATGTGATTGGTAGATAACCAATCCATTCCTAAGATCACATCCATATCCTTCAAAGGTAAACCGATTAAGTTCATCTTGTACTGTCGTCCTTCTACGACAACTAGGCACCTCAAACACACATAGGAAGACACCACCAATCCAGCTGCTGGTGTAGATACCCTCAATTCATAGGGTAGGTCACACACAGGTAACTTAAGTTTATCCATACAATTATCAGCAATAAAAAAATGGGTAGCACCTGAATCAAACAAAACTCGTAGAGGCATATCAGAGATAAAACACACACCTTGCACTAAATTCTCTGACCCCGATGCCTCTGCTCCTGACAAGGTAAACACTCGTCCTGCAGCTCTAGGTTTCGCATCACTCCCCCTGGGTGCTAATGATGCCCCAGCTGAGACTATAACACTAGGCTTCTGTGGACAGTCTCTAGCCATATGTCCTGGCTTCTGGCAAGTGTAGCAAAGACCTGCCCGAGAAGTCTGGGAAGGAGTACTGAAGACATTTTGTGGGCACTGATTCCTGTAATGAGGGCCTCCACATTGAAAACATTTCACCCCGGATACAGATCCCGATGATCGAGGTGCTGGGTTAACACTGCCACTGCTGGAAGACTGGGGGCGTGAATAAGGCATCCTCCTCTCTGATCTACTACCCCCACTCGGGACCCCACTTGGGTGGGTCCTCATCACTCTGACTCCTCCCTCCTGGAGTCTCTCTATTGTCTTCGCTTTCTCCACTAGCTTTGGGAATCTCCTGATAGAGAAAGGAACCACCATGAGCTTGATCTCAGCCCTCAAGCCTTCCTCAAACTTCCTGCAAAGCCACTATTCTGAAGATGTACCTGTGTAGAAACGAGATAAGTGCTCAAATCGTACGCCGTAATCATGCACCGTCATATTACTCTGTCTCAGACTGAAGAACTCAGTCTCCTTCTGAAATCTAACACTGTCAGGAAAGTATTTCTCCAAAAACCTCTCACGGAAGGTTTCCCAATTACACACCTCCCCACGTGCAATCATCATCCTTTGAGTCCCTGACCACCAGAACTCAGCCTCATCCACTAGTAAGTATTTTCCGAATGTCAATTTCCTGTCTTCCGGGCATAAGGTAGCCTAAAAAATCTTCTCCACTTCACGCAACCACTTCTCTGCTGCATCTGGACCCAAATCTCCTCCAAAACGAGGCGGATTATGCCTCATGAACTCAGTCAGCCCCATCTACTCTGATTGGTGGAATCCAGCAGATGATGATGCCATAGTTGACCTCCACTGTGGGTAGGTAGCCTGCTGATGTATGGCAGCTGCCAACATTTCCATTGCCTTGGCTAGGGCATCTACACTTGGTGGAGTAGGAGTAGGAGTAGGAGTATGAGTAGGAGTAAGAGGTCGTGGTGTCATCCTATATCAAACGCAACCATCAATACAGAGCAAACATTCACACACACTCACATATCAAAGTATAATCACAACGGACTTATCATAGGTTCACTATCCATCCCCACAGATTTACAAGGATACTACCACTTTGATCCCACTATTGTAACGATCCTAGAAATCGCTACTATAATGATGTCTTCGCAAAGTAGTAAACAAGTAAATAACAACATCTATTTTACATTATATTACTGTAATTGTAACATAGATTGAAATTCTGGTTCACTAACGGAACTTCAAAATATAGTAACATAATTTATTTATATATTATACATGTAAAAGTAGCTCCCTCGAAGCTATCCCACTGAACTATCCCTGTTGTCCAGTAGTCACATCTCCATCTCTCAAGTCCTGATCTGCTCCCACATAAAAGTGATTATCGCAGTCTCATTCCCATGGAAAAATAGGGGTAAGTATTAAATCATTCAATATAATAAAACATATATAGAAGTAATAATTATATATTATGATCAATTACAAAATCATCAACACACTAAGACACCTTCCGGAAGTATACCCTAACTATGCCCGAACTCAGAGGCTATCATCTGTGGGCACATTGTGATCGATACCCGTAGTACCATTCTGACCACCCTCCACACAGAGTAGGATTACTGGCGCCCTTCATCACTCATACTGGAGTACCCCTCCGAGCGCGCCACCAGTCATCCCCCATCGACTTCTCACCACCTGATCTCGTAATCTACCTGACCCGACCAATCAGTGAAGTCTGAGACCTCATTCAGAATCTTCCGACATAGTTATTACACTAATGTACTATGTACCACCCCGGGTACCATTCAAACATAACAAAATTTATTCACATTTGCCGGATTCTGGACCACCTGTCCTCACGGCTCATTCAGGTCAATAAAAATAGTATTTGACTGATTTTGGCACCAACCCTCCGGCTCAGTCTAGCCAATATATAACGTCTCAGGACTGATTCTGGGCATCAGCTCTCAGGCTCAGTCTGACCCACACACGTCACAACACACTACTTTCATTCTCTCTCTCTTTATATATATATTTTCTAAAATCATTTCCGAAATCATTTCCGAAACTATTTCCGAAACTATTTTTGAAACTATTTTCGAAATCATTTTCGAAATCATTAAATTACTATCTTGCCATTAATCTTTTCTTAAAATTCCATGTATGTCCCTAAATGACTATTTTACCCTTGGTCATTTTTAAAAATTCCTTCCATGTCCCGAAAATGACTATTTTGCCCTTGGACATTTTCAAAAATTCCTTCCATGTCCCAAAAATGACTATTTTACCCTTGAACAATTTCAAAAATTCCATTTATGTCCCTAGGATGTAAAATGACTATTTTGCCCTTGAACATTTTCGAAAATTACATTTATGTCCCTAGGGTATAAAATGACTATTTTACCCTTGATCTTTTTAAAAAATCCCCACCATATCCCTTTCTTCTTCCTTCGCCCAGTAACAGTGTCGAATTTTGCAGATTTTGGCAGATTTCAAATTACTCAGTTTTAGACAACCAAACTAGTCTCAAATCGAAATTAAACATGAATTATATCTAATTTAAGTTGAAAACAACAATTTTACCATATAATTCATCCTTAATTTCAAGAATTTAATCAATATTTAAAATTTTGCAAAATATGAATAGTAATCACCTCCAGTACTCCATTTTCAAAATCCAGGTTTCAAATTTCTCAGTTTTAATCACCCAAATTAGTTCCAAATCAAAATTAAACCATAAACATGTTCAATTTAAGTTAAAAACAACAATTTTATTATATACTGCATTCTTAATTTCAAGAATTTCAAAAACTTTCAAACAGTGAACAGTTCATCAAAATCAGAAATTCTTCAAAATCAGACATTCAAATAATTCATATCTCTACTCCTATTCCTTATTCACAGAGTACCCAACAATTCAATTTCATATATTGAATGAATTAAACTTCCCCTTACCTGGTATGGTATTTCTACCGAAGTTTTTCCACTTAATTCAAGTTCTCTCCCTTTTCACCAGATCCTGCACGAGTAGAGTCTCGTTGCTTGAAATTTAGACAATAGAAGAAGAAGGATGAGAGGAAATTTTTATTCTCCTCCTCCCCCGCTTCAGTACGCGTATATATAAAAGCAAAAATTTACTATACATGAGAAAAATTTCGTTACGAAGTTTTCTTGCACATTAATCTTATTATAATATAAAAAAAACATACGTCCATGTATAATATTCACCAACACTATAAAAACTCTATTACACTCGTATAACTAATCCTCTCTCTTATTACATAATCTAGAAGTGATTATGATTTAACTCCTCAATTTGTCTAATTATGATATAATAAAATGTAATTATGATATAATAATATATGATATTTTTATAGAATTAGTAATGATTAAGTAGCCCAAATTTTAATTTGAGATTACTGAAGTTTTTTCTTTTGAAAATAGATAAAAATACATTTTGTCAATCAAATTAGTTTTTAAACAAGGATATAATGTATTTTGAGATGAGTGATAATATCATAAAAGATAATAAATAATAATAATTTAAGATAATATCATTCTAATAATAATAATCTAAAATATAAAAATTAATCATCCATCATTCATTGATAAAAGATAATTAGTTAGATATTTATAATAGATTTGGGTAGGATAAATGGTAAAATTTGTGTTGATTTTTAAAGTGAAAATTGAGTAATTTAACAAAAGAAATGGTTTTCAAATTTTTATCGTTTAAAAATGTATTTAATTTTATTTTTGTAAATCTATTTGTCCAATTTTATTTGATAAGTCGGTTTAACTGCTAATAAATAGATAAGATACGTGGGCCGATCATACCGTTACCTTTGCGACGAAGTTATGTATGCATTTAGGAAAAAAAGGAAAGTCAATATAAAAAATTATTGTTGGCAAAGTCACGATAGTGTATACATATGTCACTCCCCCGCTCACGATGCTTTTATAGTGGCTAACGGGTTGGCTAACGCACCGTGCAACTCTCCAATTTCTGGTACGAAGGAGAAGCCTCGTTTCCCATTAGGGTTAGGGTTTCTGTGTTTTCTCTTCTGTGTTACTGCTACGCCTCCTCTTTGACGTTCCCCTTTCGCTCCGACAGCTATGGAGTCTGCTCTAGTGATTAAGGTTCTGATCTTAATTCTTCTTTTCCCTCGTGTTTTCGTTACAATTTTCAGTTCTCAATTGTTCTCCTTCTCTTATATTACCACTTTTGTCGAGTGATGCACTGCTTTTAGTCATCTAGACTTTGTTTGGAGAGAATGAAGATGAATCGTCTTTTCCTTGCGACGATTTTGCAAGTCCTTGAAGTCTTAAGTCTGATAGTCGTTATTGTGTTTTCTTATTGTTGTTGAGTTTTTAGAATCGTGTTAAATTGAAATTGGCATGCATCCATTTCTAGTTTCATTTTTAATTTTATTATTTGGATGATCGGAGCACGGAATTATGGTTTTATATAACCCTTTATATGTAGTGACTTTTGGAAGGACGAAGGGGATGAAACCCCAACCATTGCTTGTCGGGTTTCGGTATGAACAAATTGATTTTGCGTAGAAAATAACTTAGTGTGAGTTTCATGAAAATCAATTGATTCCTGGCATCTGCTTCACGTGCCGTGGTTGATTTACTTTTATTCATATTGTGCATCATAGCGAAAGTTTGATTTTTTACTATGGCTCTATTTTTTTTCTAATTGATTTTGCTGTTTATCTTTTAATATGAAGTGTGATTTGTGGAGACCTACATTCATTTTGCCTAAATTTTATAAAATAAAATTTGGTGCACGAATCTGCTGATGATTTTTTTTTGGGTGGCCTTTGACATGTTATAACTCATCTTCATTTGGTTCAAGTCTTAACGAGTGGTTATATAATCATGCAAATCTTTGCTTGTTGCATTAATACATCACTTTTTCTTCGACAGGTGAAATATGGAGATACCCTCAGGCGCTTCACTGCTCGTGTGGATGAGAATAATCGACTGGATCTTGACATGGGTGGGTTGAGAGTGAAGATATGTTCTATCTTCAGTTTCAGTTCTGATGCAAATTTTATTCTGAGATATGTGGATGAAGATGGCGACATGGTGACTCTAGTTGATGATGAAGATTTGCGTGATGTGATGAGGCAGCAATTGAAATTCTTGAGAATTGATGTACTTATGAACAATGACGGCGGTGCTAAATCAAATGCTTGGTCTAGTGGAAGTACCACCCCTTTAAAGTCTCCTGTCACAAACCCACCTCTGGGTAGAAATGCTACATTACATGAGGCACTCTCTAAATTGTCACTTTCAAAAGCAGCATCTTCAAGTCCCTTGGTTGATAATCTTGCCAATTCAATTTTGAAAATGGGACAATCTGTTCTAAATTCTCATTTTCATTCTCGTGATGAAGCTGGTACAAGTTCAAAAACTGGTGTTCCTGAAGAGCCTATCCCTTCTAAAACTATAGGTTCTCAATCTTCACACGTGGACTCAGCCACCAATGCTACTGTCCATCGTGATAATGCCACCCCCTCAAGCTTTCCTGTTCCAAACCCAACTCTGATTGGAAATGCAGTTAAAGTTGACATCCCATCTTCCCTGCCTGAGCCAGTACGGGAACTTATTTCCAATTTATTCCATCCGAATGCTGCTTCTTCAAGTCAGCGGCCTGATAATCTTGCTGATTTAATATCCCTAGTGGGACATTCTGTTCTAAATTCTTACTGCCAGCCTCATGTTGCAACTGGTCCATTCTCTGAAAATGGTGTTCCTGAAGGACCAATCACTCGTGAAGCAAGAGGTCCACAGATGCAATCTGTAGATTTGCCTTCCAATGCCACTCAACAGGTGGAGGCTGGAAACATAAGTAGAGATGTAGCCTCTGCATCCAATGCCAGTAAACAAGTGGAAGCTGGGAACGTAATCAGTGCAACAACAGCTGCAGAAGTAGCCACTGTTGATCTCAATATCCCTCCATGTGATCCCTATTCATCTCAGTCCACTAATGTAAATAAGGATCCACTTTCATCAGAAGTTCCTGATGGTGATGGCAAGAAGGTTAAAATCTCGATTGTCTGTAGTTCTGCTGGTAAGGATGACAATGGTGGTCCATCCTCAAGTCTTGCCGGTCCTAATAACAGTTCAACCCAGACTAGTTCATTGAGTGCTGATGCTTTCTTTGACTGTCCATTTTCTGGAATGGATATTAATTCTTGGACACCAATTTTTGGAAGCGCTCCAATGCCCCCATTTAAAAGGAGCCATCGTCATACTGAGGCAATGACTGGTATGTTCCACAAAGGTGTCCGCTGTGATGGTTGTGGTGTCTATCCAATAACTGGACCTCGTTTCAAATCTAGAGTGTAAGTACTTTGATTTGTTTGGAATTTATTATTAAATTGTTTTCAAGGGCGTTTCCATAATATTTGTTCTTCATGCAGAAAGGAAAATTATGATCTCTGCCACATTTGTTACAATGAAATGGGTAATGGGACGGATTATATCAGAATGGACCGCCCTGCATCTGCTCGTTTCCCTCGATGTGTATATGAACAATCCAAAAACTTCGTAATCACTTTTGGACACTGTTATCTTTTCTGTTCTCCCTGTGCAAGTCCTTGCATTTTCACACTTTTTTTTTATGGTGCAGCCAACATTACCACCACATATTTTTAAGAGAAGTTCCATTTTGAAGCACGGAAGGCCAAAGCTAGATAGTCGGTTCATTTTGGATGTCAATGTGATAGATGGAACAATGATGGCTCCATCTACTGCATTTACAAAGATCTGGCGGATGCGCAATAATGGCACAGTAGTGTGGCCCAAGGCAACTCAACTTGTTTGGATTGGAGGAGACAAGTTTAGTGACTCTCATTCAGTTGAATTAGAGGTTTGCTAAATATTCATTTTGTAGTTTAATCATTTCCTTAAAGTCTATCATCTTTTTTCTAGGTTTATTTTGCTCATCATAGAACCTGTGGTATGCTAGTTTGTTGAGTTCTCTCTGTGATTAAACATCCCAGGTTCAGGATGGTGTCCCAGTAGAGAAGGAAATTGACATTGCAGTTGACTTTACAGCTCCTAAGATACCTGGTCGATACATATCATACTGGAGGTTGGCAACTTCATCTGGAAATAAATTTGGCCAACGTGTTTGGGTACTTATACAGGTAAAATGATAGTATTGAAGGAATTTCTTTCCCCTTAGAGCATTCTTGGCTGACGGACACTATGTTTTGCTCTGAATGGTTTTATAATAAATTTGATCTCTTGTATTATCGTACACGCAGGTTGATGCCTCTCTCAAAGACTCATTCTATGATAACTCTCAAGGTCTGAACTTGAATGTTCCGCTTGATGTCAGTGGCTCTGCAGGACCTCTGCTTATAGATATCAATGTTAGGCCAACCGAAGATGATACTTTTCTTCAACCCTGTATTCCTGATGATCCCATTGAACCTGTGAAACAAATGGTTGATAAGGAACCAAGGTTGGAGCTGGAGAAGGAATTCCCGATAAATGAAGCTACTTTTGTTGGCCCTGTTGCCTCAGCCCCTGCTGCAAATTCCGTAGCACCTTCATCAGTTTCTTATCCTATTATTGATTTCTCTGAAACAACCCCAGCTGTTGCTGTTCCCTCTAATCAGCAATCCTCAACTGTGGATGTATCATCATCCGCTGGTGTAGGGACTAGTGGAATTAATTCTGTGGAAGAGTGTCTACTTAAAGAACTTGAGGAGATGGGTTTTAAGCAGGTTGATTTGAACAAAGAGATCTTGAGGATGAATGAGTACGATCTGGAGCAATCCCTAGACGAGCTCTGCAGTGTTTCTGAGTGGGACCCTATCCTTCTAGAGTTACAAGAGATGGTAAGCTGTTCTGGTTCACCTTTTATCATTAAATGCCTGCAATTTGAAGTCCTTTCTCTTCTGATCCCTATCCTCCCCATTTTCTATTGGTTCCTCTGAGCAAGCAATTTGTTGTTAAAATGGATACTGTTTTGATTAGTTGTCGGGTGTTTATGCAGGGTTTCCTTGACAAAGAGATGAATAAGAGGTTGCTTAAGAAAAACAATGGAAGCATAAAACGTGTTGTTATGGATTTAATCCAAGGAGAATAGTTTTTGTTGAAATGTCGGTTAATAGTTAATGTAAAGGTGGTGTGACTCGTGCACTTATTGCTAAGGCAGACATTTATGTCTAATTTCGTATCCATCCCGATCTTGTGTTGAGGTGTTATTGCCATTATCACACTTGAACAATCCGATGTCTGATTACGTATGTATGAATTACTATGCTTCGATATGTAATTAGTTATATTACCAAATCGCTGTGTACAGAAAGCCTTTGTTTTAAAACTTCCAAGCAGGTTTTAATGGTAATTTTTTATTACAAATAAATTTTGCTTCCTTTGTCTACGAATTACTGAAAGATACTAAGATAATTGTATTTTGATTTTTCTATATAAAGAATATTTCCAAAACGTGTAAACGTAAAATTTATAAATACTATTAGTGAACATAAAATATTTGTGAAAATGTTTAAATACTAGGTTACCTATCATATTGTTTTGAGAATTATTAAGTAACAAAATATTGAATTCTTCCACTCTTATCGTAAAAATAATATTGATAATGACTACTACTACGTATTTTATGGGAACTATTATAATAGCGTGTACGTTTTGACGATTTTTAATAAAAAAATTAGGTTATTATAATTTTCAATCGTATATTTGTGCAAAATCGATTATTTTGGTTCTTGAGTTTTTTAATGTAATTTTTATTTTTAATTTTTAACCTGTTCAATTTTTAATTTTAATTTTTTGTTATACTTATTTATTATACACTAATTAAGCATATTTGATTTATCACATGAAAACGAAATTAATAAATATTCTAATTTATTAAAAATAATATTTTAATAACTATATTTCTATATATTAATTATTACTTTACTTCAGTCCATTCAATTTGGACGCGGTTTTCCTTAAAAATAAAAAAGAAACCTATTGATTTCAAGTTGATTGATTGCACATATATAGTTCATAATGTAGTAAACAGTAAGAAAAAGTTAATACATATAAAAAATATTTTTTTACACATGTGAATTAATCCACACGTGTATGAATCATAATTTTACATGATTAGAAATACAGTTTCGTTATATTTTTTAGGTTCATTTCATTTTCAATTTCCCCATCCAATTACTTAATTGTTTGAGCAAAATTATACTTGGGTTCGTTATTTTGAAAAGAAAAGAAAAGAAAAACATTGTCAGCTGTTCTTTGATGACAGTGAGCCTCCAATTGTGGCTAAACAGTGTTCTTAATTATATGGATGGAATCATGTTAGTGTTGACAAGAATTTCAAAAGAAGAGTGTGAACTGACATCCAAATTAAAAAGTTACGGTAAAGGAATTTCTCCATCTTTAGAGAACTTTCTACTTGTTTGGCTCAAAATATGTCTCTCGACTGCGCATCTACTTTCAATTATTCACATGTTAATTCTGGGCATATATCAGAACCATTATCTAGTTTCTTTTTCATCACATAGATATATTATTAACCACATTTGCTTACGTGAATTTAAACTCCAATTTTCTATAGTATGCAATCTTTTCGATTTTGTTAGAATTAATAAATAAATTAATTTAATTATGTGATTCATGTTAAAAAAAATTAAAATTAATAATAATTAACTTAGTGGATAATTTGAAGAATTATTTTCCAATAATAAATTTGATAGAAGTTAACTACATAAAGGAAGTAAGAATTTTGTTTATGTTATAACTTTTTCTCATGATTAATCATAAAAAAGTGTCGGATAAGAAAGAAAGACAAAAAAATAGATTTGGAAGAGAAGCCTAGAGAACAAAAACACTAAAAAATATATTTTTATGAGATTTTTCATGGATCAATATCTCTCTATCATTATTTACGTGAATGTGTGAGAATAATAAATTTTAAGATTTTATAAAGTAGTTTTCTAGAATTGAATTAAGAATGTATGAAAACTATTCGAACTAACATATTGTGTTAGAGCATCGTTGTTAAATTTGTGATTATCCTCTTATGAAGTTTTCCAAATAATATTTTTCCCACTTTTATAAAATCCTAATTATGAAATTTAGAGATTTTATTTTTTTCGCTACAATTCTATGTTTTCGCTATCTATGATAAAATTTATGGATAATTTTTTCGTTGCATTACAAAGTAATTACATATTATGAATCAATTTGAGTGAGTGTGATCCAGAGAAAAGCTATATAATGTTTTAAAAAAGTCACTCTTGTTATAGTGTAGTTAATATTGATATTATTAGTGTTAGAATTATTATTAGTTAGTAGTTAGTGGTTGGTGGTTGATAATCGTTGTTTTAAATGCTATAATATATATATATATATATATATATATATATATATATATATATATATATATATATATATATATATATATATATATATGAAATCATAGAGTAGATGGAACATCCTACTGAATTATAAATCTTCTTTTAACTCTCTTTATTATCTTAATTTGGTATCAGAGCGAGTTGATCCTACTCGCCTCTCCGAGCCACCGTTGGTCACTGTCTGACTACCGCCCGGCCACCATCTGGTCATTGTCCAGCCACCGTCTGATCACTGTCCGACCACCATTCGGTCACTTTTCCGGTCACTTTTCGGCAATTTCCAGCAATCGTCAGCCCTTGTCCAGTCACTTTTTTGCTATCGTTCGATGACTTTTCGACCACGTTCCAGTGACCTTCCAGCCTCCGTTCCGCTACAGTTGTCTGCTGCTGCCATTCGTCAATTTTCTTGCAAAGTGAAAATTGATACTTCCCTCTCTTGGGTGTTCTCCTTCTTACAGGTTTCATTGTCTCCATCTTACATTTACATTATTTAAAATATGTCGTCAGGGCCCACAACCTCATTTTTCGGAACTCCCACTATAACGGCTGAGAAATTAAATGGAAAAAAATTACATGTCTTGGTCCTCTTCAATGGAACTTTGGTTCCTTAGACAAGAGTTTCACGATCATCTAGAAGAAGACGGAAGTAAGATACTAGAAGATCAGACTCAATAATGAAAAAAACTTGATTATCAACTATGTGCTCTATTGTGGCAATCAGTAGAACCAAATATTTTGAGCACTCTCAGATCCTTCAAAACATGTAACTCTTTCTGGAAAAAGGCTCAAAATATCTTCACAAATGATATACAACGCCTCTATGATTCCGCTAATCGATTAGTCTCTCTCAAACAAGTGGATAAAGATATGATGACCTTTATTGTTGAAGCTCAATCAACAGTTGAAGAATTAAAGATGTTCCTAGAGGTGGATTCGTTAGAGGAGATAAAACAAAAGTTGGATAAATTCTATATGGTTATGACTCTCCGGGCTGTGAATTCATAATTTGATCATGTTAGAGATCAAATTTTAACTGGAAAAGACTTTCCTTCTATGGAAAGTTTGACTACAAGACTGTTTTGTGTTCCAACTCTCAAAGGAAAAAAATAATCAAGAACTTGTTGAATCTTCTGCTATAATTTCTACTCATGGAAGAGGAAGTCGCGACACTAGAGGAGGACGTGGAGGTAGAGGACATCCTCAGTGCACTCATTGCAAGAGAATGGGTCATACCCTGTTTTGCACGGTTTTCCTGACAAAACTGTCAATTTTTCCAAATCTGAAATGGTTGAACCCAAGTTCTCTCATGAAAAATATCAAGAATATTTGCGATTGAAATCCAGTAATCTAGCACAGTCATTAACAATCCCAAATTCATCAAAAACTTGCATTTTACAATCTGTGGAAAGTCAAAATCCATTGATTATTGACTCAGGTGCTTCTGATCACATGTCTGGTAATACCTCTTTGTTCTCTTCTCTATCATTTCCTAAAACTCCTCATCTCATAACCTTAGCCAATGAATCTAAAGTAGCCTCTAAAGGAACTGGTCAAGTCTCCATTTCTCCGTCTTTAAACTTAAAATCTGTTCTTTTTGTTCCTTCATGTCCCTTCGATCTCATTTCCCTAAGTCAATTAACCAAATTATTGAATTATTCAGTAACCTTTAATGCCAACTTTTTTGTTATACAGGAACGTGGTAAGGGTCGACAGATTGGCGAAGGACATGAATCTAGAGGCTTATACTACTTTGAGACTAAATCATCTGTATCTTGTGTTGCATCTTTGTCCCCAAAACTATTATATGAACGTTTAGGACACCCTCACTTGTCAAGATTAAAAAAATGGTTCCTGAACTTCAGACTCTTCAAGATTTTGAATGTGAATCATGTCAACTAGGGAAACATACCAGGTCCTCTTTTCCTAAACATTATGAATCTAGATGTGACTCTGTCTTTTCTCTCTTGTTCATTCTGATATTTGGGGTCCTAGTCGTGTCTCATCCTTTGACTATAAATATTTTATTACCTTTATTGATGAGTTTTCTAGGTGTACTTGGATTTATCTAATGAAAGGTTGTTCTGAATTATTACCTATCTTTAAGTCTTTCCTTAATGAAATCAAAAATCAATTTGGAAAAGTAATCAAAGTTTTACGAAGTGATAATGCTAAAAAATACTTTTCTACTGATTTCTCCACTCTCTTAAGTTTCCAAGGCATTTTACACCAGTCTACTTGTCCTCACACACCACAGCAAAATGATATAACAGAATAAAAAAATAGACATTTAGTTGAAACTGCTCGTACCTTATTACTTGGTGAAAATATGTTTGTTCATCATTAGAGAGATGTTATTCTTACTGCATGTTTTCTCATTAATAGAATGTCATTTTCTTCTCTTGACAATAAAGTTCCACACTCTATTCTATTGCCAAATGAGCAACTCTTTCATGTTTCTCCTCGTGTATTTGGTTGCGTATGTTTTGTTCATGATATGTCTCCAGGTTTAGATAAATTATCAGTTAGAGCCATCAAATGTGTCTTCTTGGGATATTCTCGTCTTAAAAAAAGATATCGATGTTATTCTCCTGAAACCAAGAGGTACTACATGTCTGCTAATGTCACTTTTTTAGAATAAACTCCCTTCTTCCCTTCTTCTATGCAGGATATTAGTTCGATCCAAAATGTCCTACCTATACCCTTAATGGAG